AATCATGCGTGAAATGAGATTTGTTTGCGGAGCGTTAAATGACCTACATTCGACAATGAGTCCGCGATTCCCTTGTATCCATTGCCTATTGTCGCGTTCACAACAAAGAATGATGGCTTCCATTCATTTCATTAAAACTGCTCCCCTGAATCGTGGGCGTATCGAGATCACTCCAAGTATTTAAAATGTATCACGATGAATAGTGTCCGTAGTAATGCTATTAAGTCAGTGTATATTAACGTTATAGTCATCTACATTTTGAAATAGAATAGATTTTTTTTAAATTTGTCTATATAGAACACAAAAAATGTTTCTCCCTGTGTTCGTTATAGACTGAAACCATCCAATCGACTTTGATTAAATTTTTTGTGTGTATTGATTAAAACTACTTTTACGGATTTTATCGCGTTTAATTTAAATTATTTTTAATTCCCGACGTTTCGGGTGCTTTCCAGCACCCATGGTCACGGGGGACTGAGGTGACTGACGTCCCGATGTCAATGTTAACCGGGATTACCTTTAGCTTTTTAATTATTGTTTATGGTCCGATGTACGCAGAATGATTTAATTGTCTTGAAGTCATGCAGTGGTGTGCTTGGGTTTAGTTTTAATTTTATTAATTATAGACTCCCAAGCAGGTAGTAGTACCCAGCATCCTTCTCTATTGAAATTAGGATGTTTTTTTAATTTCAATAGCGTAACGTAATCATGCTTGATAGGAATCGATGATCTTTCGCGAGAATTTGTGGTCTATCATTTTTGTGTGGTCAATGGGTCTCTAGATGGTTTATATTCACATTTGGACCCGGTAGGTGACGCTGTTGTCGAAATACATAAATCGCCCGTGCGAAGCAGGGCGGATCGCTAGTATAGATTATAAGAGTACTTTTAAAAGTAATTTAACCTTTACCACTAACACTGGTTCACAAAGTAGGTTCATAAAGTGTGTTCACAAAGGATATTCTATCTTATCCTTATGACTAAGGTACCTTCCAACTACAGAGCTTCTTTTGCTGTTTCTTCTTTGATCCTAGGAACCTCATTTCGAAACGCTGAAACAAGTGATTTTAATATTTATCCTCAATTATGAATCAAAATGCGGATGCTTTGTCACTTGTTGTCACACCCTGAGGACTAAGATAAAATGCCTCTTATCCAGTAAATGGGGTGTCCGGTTCTCTACACTTACCATACTGTAACGCCCTCGCTCTCTTTATATAAATTAAGAAATATGGCCGTCTATAAAATATAAATAAGATTTAACAACTATATTTATATTTTCCAAGGATATTTCTAAAGGTTATAGGTCATTTAAAAAAAATTGTGGGTTAATCCACAATTTTTTTAAAGTCTAAGTTGTTACCATCCCTAACCCTTATTTACGTTGTGTTTGTTTAGTAACTTAGTTTTTTAGGTGTCTCTTCGAAAAATGAAATTTTCACCAGAGTAGCCGAAAGCTGTTTATAGTGCCTTATAATTATTTTAAGCTAAGTAAACCGGTTCACGAAGAAAGCACTCCAAAAGGTAAAGACATTAAATCGTCCCTATTCCACTTACATCAGGTTCACATAAATCAAGTCCTTAATTAATTCCTTCCCGCTTGTAAAACGCTCACAATATTTGTATAAAACTTCCCGATGCAAGGGCTTCGCTCTCTTACATTTAAAAAAAATGTGGGAGAGGCACGCGGCTCCACACACAACGTGTGTGGTGAGTGCCAATCAACCAACGCGCACTATCCAAAGAGGGACAATCAACCAACGCGCGCTATCCAAAGAGGGACAATCAACCAACGCGCTCTATCCGAAGAGGGACAATTCACCAACGCGCTCTATCCAAAGAGGGACAATCAACCAACACGCTCTATCCAAAGAGGGACAATCAACCAACGCGCTCTATCCAAAGAGGGACAATCAACCAACGCACTCTATCCGAAGAGGGACGTTAAGTTGGGTACTGTACCGTAGTTCTTATTTTTTTTTTTTTTTTTTTTATAGGATAGGGTGACAAACGAGCACACAGTCCACCTGATGGTAAGTGGTTGCTGTGGCCCATAGACATCTACATCTATCCTCGATTACGAATCAAAATGCAGATGCGTTGTCACCCGTGAGGACTAAGATGGAATGCCTCGTTTCCAGTAAAATGGGTCTCCGGTTCTCTACACTCACCATACGAAATACAGCAGCATTAAGCTACTATTTCACGCTGGTATTCTGTGAGAGCGTGGTCCTTCCCCGGTCGAGCCGACCCATTCGTGCTACAACTATACTACTAATATAACTGCAGCAAAATAACTGGCGAACCAGTAAAAGAGGGCTTGGGCCCCTTGGTAGTGCGTAAGCACAAACATGTCAATGTGTGTAAATGCCATACAGAATACGATCAAATCCAGCCACAGTGAATGTTTAGGCACACTGGACATAAAAAAACCCTCCGTGAGAGCCACCACCGTTTTTGAAAAAGAAGGAAGTAAAACGTTATGTGAAATAAGAATAGAAGGAGAGTTGATAAAACTAGTCGATGACTTCGTGTATTTGGGATGTATACTCTAATGTTCAAAATATGTGTATTTTAACTTTATGCTTTTTAATGCATTTTAATTGTTTAATATTACTTTTAAGATATTTTTTAAATGTCTTTATACAGAAGTTAATCATTAATAAATAATAATGCGCCGTCTTTTCTTTTTTTATTTACTCGATAACGCAAACACATTGTAGTTACAAGTTTTATATCTAAGTATACCTGATTGTCAACTTATTCCCTCTAGGCAACTAAAATAAAAATAAAAACAGAGTCCAGGCGACACGCAATACCCGCCGTCATTACTTATTAATGTCCTGCGTTCGTTGCTGTGACGAATTCGAACCCCTCTATAATGTAACCACTTCGAATCCAATTCCCGGAGCGCTCGTAATGCCTCTATTGTGTTACACCGTAGGATTTGTTGGCACTGGTATAACTTTAGAGTTTATATTATGGTTGAGTTTAGGAGAGCGAAGATTAGTGTCTATTAATTCTGATTCATGTTGGACCATGTTCTTCTTCTATACTTTGTAGCTTCATACGTTGTAGTTTATAGCTTTTTTTTAAAACAGAACATAATATGGTACTTTTTAGAGACAGGCTATTTAAGAAACTTAGGTAAATAAAAATGAAAACCCTGTTGTATGTATAAATAGTGCTATTATTGCTTTACTAGTGAGGCGAAGAAGTTGATTACCGCAGGAAACTTACATTACGAGTAGTCATACGATAGTCATACATTACGAGTTTACGCGAGTCTAACGATATGAATAGGAAAATTTACCGAATCACAAATTTTACGTATTCTCGCATGATTGTTCGTATTCAAAATTTGAGTGTGATTCTGTTGTTAATGAGGTACAGCCTTCCTGGTTCCTAATACTCCAATGAGTACGCAGAGGTACTTCGTGCGATATGCACTGGTGTTGTCTCTATTATCTTGATGTTAATGCTGTTAGTCTATGCGACTCTTACAGCTTCATCTTGTCACAGCTAATTAAAAAGGGAAAGGCAATGAGGTGAAAATGATGATGAATGATTTATGATTTGAAATTTTTATCAATCATCATGTCGCCTTTTAGGCGTTTTTCTTTGAGCTATCTAACCGCAGTCCGAGGGGGGGTGTGCGGACCCCCGTCTCTGACTGCTCAGCTCGTGTCGGTCGATGTTCTGGGCGGTGAGAACCGTCCAGGAACGCGGGTGTACGGTGTGTACGCGGTGTGAGCTGGAACGCGTCGTGCCCGTCTGCGGGTGCGACGCGTCCCATTCGTTGTCCTATTTGTGTTTGTCCCATTTAGTGTGGGTGTAGTGTCGTTGTGTGGCTGGTGTTGTTTTGGCAGAAGTAATGAAATACATGTAGACACCTATTGTAAAATTGTAATTTGTTTAAACAAAATACATGCTTCACCAGTCACCTCCCATGGGTAGCGCCATAATGCATTATTTTAAATTAATGTTGAGCGTTAAATCTCTGTCCAATTTAATTAAATCTGTACAAAATTCTTTTATCAGAACTAAATATTAATTGACAGAGTTTTTTCAGTCGATTAGTTCTAGTTCTATTTTATTAACTAACGCTACCACAATGAATTACTCCTGGTTAACACATGCCAGAAGTCGATGGATGTGGGTCGCTTAAGTCCGTGTTTTGTTACACTATTATATGATGATGATTCTTAACAATGAACATTTAAAGTTGACACATCCATCTAATAAAAGTGACAAACGAGCACACAGTCCACCTGATGGTAAAGGATGTTGTGCTTCATAGACAGATACATCTTTCCTCGATTAAGAATCAAAATGCAGATGCGTTGTCACGGAATAAGAAGTGCCTCGTTTCCAGTTAAAAAGGCTCTGTTCCGGTTCTCTATATTCACCATACGAAACACAGCAGCATTACGCTGCTATTTAACGTTGGTATTTTACCATTATAGGCTAAATAACAATTAATAGGCCTTCATCACCACCATGGTATAAACCAAGTGGAATTAATTGCAGTCATGCACTAGCATAAAATAAATAAAGATAATAAAATTAATAAGAGAGCTAGTCATGCGTTATTTCAATCACATCAGATATGGTTTTACGGTTCTTTGTATATAATATATTATTGTCGGGTCTTTTTGCTTTAGGAAAGCTTAAGAGCTTCAGATCGATCTCTGATACTAGATAGATTAGTTCGTGCACTGTTGTGGTAAGTGCCAGTACAGCCTTGTAAAACATAGTCTTGGTTGCGACAGTGATCATTGGATTTCAAATATATTTTTACTTTGTATTGACATTTTAATCATTTAATAAAGTAATTTAATAAAGTAAATTTAATGAATTTATCTTGAATTTGACTATATCAAAATCATAAACATTTTATTTAAAACAAATTGTTATAAATTATTATACACATAGGATAAATTCTAGTGTTTATATAAAAAGAATAATTTTATTGAAATTGTAATTTTATTTTAATTAAAATGCTGTTTTATTTAAATTCCCCATCTTGCATTCGGGCGGTGAAAATTATAAAAACCTCAATAAAATTTGCTTCGAACAAGTAAGTTTGGTATCTTTAGTGAACTGCAATAGTTTTCGAAGTAGAGGTGAATATTGTGTGTATGAACGTGCGCCCGTCCATAATGACACGTTACGCCACGCCTTCTTACGCGATCGTGCGTATATTTCGGCACGAATCGGCACGTTTATTTACGTGTGTCGTTGACCCTAACAGAAAATACTAGGAACGTATTATTGTAAGCGAAGGCGAGCTTACAATCTAGGGCGTTACCCCTCTAAAATGAAGTATTTGTTTTACAACAAAGCGCCGCTTAGATTGTAAACAGAGTATCGCGTTCCGATGGATTTCCTTACATATTCGCTAACGGCAACATGGTTGTTTTTCTTACGCATCGGTATGCTACACAAATCAATTCGATTCGATCGTATCGATTATTTTAGGTTGGTGATGAATGTAACAATCTGCATTCGAGTAGAAATAAAATTTGACATAGGTACCCAGATTCAGACTGTTAAAAGCGGGAGTCTAAGAACACTCATGTATCGTAAATCGCAGACTCATGTTAAGTAAATCAGTAGCTGGGTTGAGATAGTTAATTGTACCCTAACCCATATTCGATTTCGAATCAACAAAACAAGAAAGATGATCGATTAGTCATCTCCGGCATCTAAAAATATACGTTACTATAAAGACGTAAAAGTGGTCGTAATTCTACCGCTGTACATATTTCACTTTCAACTACACATTAATTTATAAAACACAGATGTGCAGATATCTAATATACAAAATAAATGCTTTTTGACTTGACACGCACTCCACTCACTTATGAAAAGGGAATTACTCAAAATTCCCAGCTCATTCGGTCAATCTGTCAGTAATTATTTTGTTGACAACATTTTAAAACTCTTCGGCAACTATCGCTACTCTGTATCACTGTTTGGCTGCAGACTATTATGTGTTTGACATTGACAGTATGAAAGTAAACAATGAATATTTTATTTTATTATATTTAATGGATTTGTAACACATATTTATACATAAAATTTAGCTTTCTGCACTCCTCCATATAAACTAACTGTTCCAAAGCACCCACTCCTCCCTACGCGCAATACCTATGCTTTTCACATGGCTACAAAGTTTTCTCCTCATGTATTATTATAAATTACATGAGGAGAATGTGTATTGTGTTTATTAATAAGGATTATTTTTGGTTCCGTATACTTACATAATGTCAAAAAAGAGATTTCTATTTTTTTTAGTAACTTTATTATTTTTAATATTTAATACATGATAAACTTACTACTATATGTATAGGTACTTTATTTTGTTGTATGTGTTTGATAGCTATTTTCGCAATTTCAGTGTTGTTAACCAGTTGGCTTTTATAATTTTAATCGAAATGAAAAAAGTTAAAGATATAAACTCTTTTTTCCATATCCCTTGCTCAATACAACACCCGATTTTCTTGATGTCGGTGATTCTAAGCCTTTAATTGTGGCACGGCGGCTCAGAACAAGTAAAATAAAACCCCTCACTGGAAATTTCTAGAATTGAGGTAATTCTTTTTAAGAAATTAAAAAATAGGATTTCGGTTTACTATTCTTACTCAAGATTAACAGAGTTTTTCTTGAATTTCGCGAGCAGTGTCCATGTGCCTTCGTAGTTTGCGGATGTTACTTAGTACTTATTACATCATGCTGTATTTTTCTGCGTATTGGGATGTAGCGTCGATCGTATCAGTTTTATGCTGTAATCTTAAAAAGTGTGGCAATTTAAAGCTGGTTTGATATATATTTTGTCTTTTTTTAACTTGGGGATTCTCAGAATAAACGTCTGCTATTATTTATTTCACTGGGGAAAATATTAAAGATGATCTTTGTTCCATTTTGAAGTACATATATCTAGTTTTAATACATTTTTTAAACAAATGAGCTCTTTTGTAAAAAAATATTCATATACAATATTATAGATACTGAAAAATTTCATGCGTTTTTTGTTTTATAAACCCTCCCCCTTACAAAGAATAATGATATTCAACCTACACCGAATTCATGAATTCATACGTTATTTTTCTGCTGCAAACATAGTCTACTGAGAACATCTACAACTCAAAATTAATTAGAAATTGCCTTAGCCGTAAGCGTTATAACAGGCGAATTCATGTGTCCGATAGATAGCAAAATAACCTCGTACTTTTATTAGATACTAGTTGCATCCCGCGACTACATCCGCATGAAATTTATTAAGATTGGTTTTATTTTATTTTTTGTGTAGAACCCTAATTCTTCTTCTAAAATAAATAAATTTGTGAATTATCACACCATCTGAGACGAGCGGCAATGTGGAATTCAATTTGGACATACCCACTTTCAACTATCAGTTTAGTGATAAACAGACCGTTGACAAATATGCAAGACTAGAGATATTTGCTAAAATGAAGGTAGCTTAAGTTACTCCTTATACTATCAGCTATCAGCAGTGAAAGTACCGTCAAAATCGGTTTAGCCATTTCGGAGATTAACCGGAACAAACAGACAGACAAAAATTTTATATACTTTCATATGCATTTTGCCAAAAGCTGTTATTTTAACAATACATACAGATTCTTCAATTTTATTTATTGTACAGATAAAATACCGACACTAACATATATATAAACATAAACACTCACGCTTGTCACCCAGAAGGGTAGGCAGAGACTACAGACTTCCATTTGGCACGTTCCTGACACACGTCTGTCATCTCCATCGCATCCATATACCTACGTGCATGCTCGTTGGTTAAGGGTACTCCTAATTTGGCCCGTTTTTAATAAATCGCCAATTTGGTCGATAAATTTTCGCCTAGGACGTCCCTTTCCGACTCTGCCATTCACTTCTGCAACAAATTTTCTTTGTCACTCTTTCCTTTTTCATTCTTTCCACATGACCAAATCACCGAAGCATTCCTTTCTTAATCCTGGTCACAACATCATCTTGCAAACCACACTCTTCTCTTATCACACAATTTCTCAACCTGTCGTTCAGATTCAGCCCTAACATACTCCTAACGACCGCATTCCTACTGTGTTCATTCTACTCTCGTGCTTCTTCTGCCACACCCAGCTGTCACTACCATACGTCAAAGTAGGGACCAACACAGCATTGTGAATTGCCATACGTGCCTTTTTCGACACATTTTGACTCTTCACAATAGAGTGTAGGGCCCCATTTACTCTATTTCCTGTATAAATAATTTAAATATAATTCCTTTTAGTGGTGTCTTAACACGATTGTTTTAGGTTATAGGGTTATTATTTGTCTACAAGACACTGTCATTATTTACTGGTATTCTCGTATAATTTCAATAAAAATTATACCGAGTAGTGGCGGTGTAAGAAACTCAATTAGGTACTCCATATTATCCCGTGGGTGTCGTGAGAGGCAACAGAGGGAAACAAATTAGGAGATGGGCAGCAGCGTCGTTCTAATAAAGACTAAAAGTAAAAAAAAAACTGTGGTTACTAATCCGCTTGACGAGCGTGGCAACTTTGGCAAGAACTTATATATATGATATGAGGTAATGTATGGGCGAGGCCTATATTCATCAGTGGACTTTAATAGGCTATAACGGTTCCATAAAAAGTTTTAGCATGTAAAAATTATATCAAGTCATGAATGTTTATTATCCCGTTCGTCTGCTAAACGTGGAAAAAACATCTTATCCTATATATATTGGAAACAACCATGTTCATTTGAGGACTGTACGGGCTGATATAGTGAAGTGAATTGAATGCGGAGGTTTGATTGGTAGGAATGAACGGTGAGAATATTAGAAGTAATTAGGGATATTTCCTGGCGCCAACTCTTTTAATGCTATACTTTGAATGTTTCTCGGATAAGTATTACGTACCGACGTCTTATAATTTTTAGTCCTCGTGTCACTTGGATAAGGTGTTTTCTGCGAGCCCACGTTGTTGATTGACAAGTAAATACTCGGGTGTCAACCGTTAATGGTCGTGTTTATATGTCCCAGGAAGCACTGTGCGGAGGCAGTTTGAATGGAGTTTTTAGTTTCAGTTTCGAATAGCGCTACATGTTAGAGATTTCATATTAAATATGTATTGTATTAAGTTTTTTTTTCTTTTACAATACCCTTCCATAATTTAATTGCTTTGACACAAAAGGAGGAATTAAAAAGTTTATCGGTTAATCTGGAATGATCTTTATCTGCACCCGCGAACTCAAATTTTTCTTTTAGACACATCGGTGTTTTAGGATCAAATAGTACACAGTACAGTTGAGATAGAATTTGAGTATTCCGACGAAGTCTGATAGGAAGCCACTTGAGCTTAGTACGAAACTCGGAAACATGATCATATTTGCGGAGGCCAAATATGAAACTAATAGCGAAATTCTGAAGACGCTCAAGTTTATTTAATTGATCCTCAGTAAGATTAGAGTAGCATACATCAGCATAATCAAGGATAGGGAGTAACAAGGACTGTGCCAGTAAAATTCTAGTAGAAATGGGTAATGAGTTACGCAAACGTCGTAAGGAAGATGATGCTGCAAACATCTTTCTACTGGACTCTTTAATATGTAGCGACCGAGAAATATTTTGATGAATGTGTAATCCTAGGTCTTTCACAGATTTGCTAAAAGGTATCACAACACCATCAATAACAATAGGTGGTAGGTTATACCAACAAATTCTGGAAATTACAGTACTATTTCCCACAATAATGGCTTGGGTCTTAATGGGATTTAAATTAAACGACCGGACGACCTGCTCTAATCATGTATTGTAGCAAGATTCATATTAGTGTCATTGATGGCACTGGGAAGGTTCTGGAGTGATGTATGGGTGTAAACTTGAAGATTATCTGCATACAAATGGTAGAGAGAAGAAATTCGTCAAGTAACAGAATTAATAAACACAGAAAAAAGGAGAGGAGACAACACGCCACCTTGTGGTACACCAGCAGTTAGTTCACACCACGAAGATGTGGCACCCCCTACCATAACCCGCTGCCGGCGGCCACGCAAATAGCTTTGAAA